CACTAGCTAGGATCTGTTATCATCTGTTCAGGCAAGATGATGCTGGCTATGGTGCTATGTTGAGCAAAGACCGTAGGAGTGCAATGGTGAAAGTAACAACAGTTGCAATAATGCAGGTGAGAAATGATAGTGGCTTGAATGAAGGTGGTTGCAGTGAAGGTAGATATTTTGTGAAGGTAGAACCAACAAGACTTTCAGATACATTGGTTGTGGCATGGGCAAAAGAGAAATGAGTCCAGAATGACTCCAAGGTTCCTGGCCTGAGCAACTGCAAGGGCAGAGTCCTCATTAATCCAGATGAAGAAGCTTGTAGGGAAGAAGGTTCATTGGAGATCAAGAATTTGGTTATTAGAGCACCTGGGTGGCTCATTCTGTTAAGCATTCAGCTCTTCATTTCAGCTCAGGTCACAATCTCACAGTTCATGAGATTGAGCCTGGCATCAGGCTCTGCACTGACTACATGAAGCCTGCTTGGGATTTTCTCTCTCCCTCTGCCTCTCCCTCACTTGTGCACACTTCATCTCTCTCTCAAAATAAATAAATAAACTTAAAAAAGAGTTTGGTGGGGGTGTCTGGGTGGCATCTAACTCTTGATTTCAGCTCAGATCATGATCTCACAGTTCGTGAGTTCGAGCCCTGTGTTGGGCTCTGCACTGAGGTGTGGAGCTTGCTTGGGATTCTCTCTTTCTCCCTCTCTCTTTTCCCATGCTCTCTCTCTCTCAAAATAAATACATAAAGTAAAAAACTTAAAAAAAAACCCAAAAATTTGGTTATTGACATGTTTAGTTTCTGATATTTATTAGACATCCAAGCAGAAATGTTGAGTAGACAATGGATGTACAAGTCTTAAATTCAGGGGAAAAATCTGTGCTAGAGAGATACTTCACCTATTGTGCCCTGTTTCCTTACAAAACAGGGATTATAATAAACACCTCAAAAAGTTTGGTCAGGATCAATCAAGATGATGCACATACTGTTAAGTATTCCATTATATAAATATACCACACTTTATACAATGAATTTATTCATCCTACCATAGGTGAATATTTAGATTATTTCTAGTTTGGGGCTTCGTAAGTTTAAAATTTTTTTTAATGTTTATTTTAGTTTTGAGAGAGACAGAGTGTGATTATGGGAAGGGCACAGAGAGAGGGAGACACAGAATCCAAAGCAGGCTTCAGGCTCTGAGCTGTCAGAACAGAGCCTGACATGGAGCTTGAACTCATGAACGTTGAGATCATGACCTGAGCCAAAGTCGGATGCTTAACTAACTGAGACACCTAGGCACCTCTAGGGCCTCATAAGTTTAATTCCTGTATTAAATGTTTTTATTCATGTCTCTTGTTGGACATGTACATGTGTTTCTCTGGAATATATACCCAAGAATGGAATTAATAAATTGCGTAATTTTACTATGTTATGTAACAACAAATTGTTTTCGAAATTGGTTGTACCAATTAATACTCCCACTAGCAGAATAATGATCTACTCTTCCACTTTTTTTTTTCTAACCCTTGATATTTAACTTCTGAATTCTAATTTTGTTTATCTGGTAGGTGTGCAGTGGGTTCCCATTATGATTCAATTTGAATTTGAATGAAACTCAGCATCTTTTCATGTAATTATTGGCCATTTGGGTGTGTGTGTGTGTGTGTGTGTGTGTGTGTGAAAAGCTTAATTCCTTTCCATAGTTTCCTCCATCACTTTCTTTTCCTTCTTGATTGCCCGGGATCTTTATGTATTCTTAGTTTGGGTGTTTTGTTGGTTTTATGAATTTCAAATATCTTTTATCATTTTGTCTTTTTACTCTATAATGTCTTCTGACAAACAGACATAAATTAGTTTTTAACTTTAACACGTCCAATTTGCTATTCTTTCTTTTATGGTTAGTGCTTTCTGTCTACGTCTTGTTTAAGAAATATTTTTCCACTTCAAGAAGACAAAGATATTCTCCTAATTCTTTTATGTAAAGGTATAGTTTTAATTTTTATATTTAAGTTTAGAATTCAATTCGCAGGTAAGTTTAGTTTTTGCACATGGTGTGTAATAGGGATCCAATTTCATTTTTCTGTGTGAATTCCTAACTGTATTAGTTCCATTTATGAAAATATGCTCTCCAGTGCCTCATTCATAAATCAAGTATACACTAATCTATGGATATGTTTCTGGGCTCTCGATTTATGGCATTTGTCTTGTTCATCTAGACTTTCAGAAATATCCATATAGTTTTAGTTACCATAGATCTATAGGAGGTCTTGATATCTAGTAGCCTAGTGATTCTCAAAGTATTGTTTCTAAATCCACACATCAGCGTTAACTGGGGACTTGTTAGAAATGCAAATCATTGGACCTCACCCAGACTTATTCAAGGGACAAAGGACCATGGTCAAAGGCCTATCTATGGCTATGCCCATTCTTGGAGAAAAAGTGATCAGAATTTTCTCTTCCAATGCCAGAATGTTGATAGTAATAAAAGACAACTATGGTTGTGTGGAGGTGATATTGCTGCACACGTGGAATGTTCCCCTTTACTGGCTTCTCCAACATAAGAATTAGGACATTGAATGGAGGGTGATCTGACCTCCTTTATATCAATCCTTTCCTACCATGGCATGATATTATTTCTGTTTAAACAAAAGTAAATGCTATGAAAAGCAGAGCAATAGATTATGTTACACTTTCCTTAGTGATTAGTAATTTTAATCTACAAAAGTATGTGTGCCATTTTAACAACTTCCAATATTACAGATATATACAAACTAAAAAGCAAACATTATCTCTTGCTTCCCTATTCCATGACCTGTCCTAGAATTAACAAATTTCTTTAAATTTTTAAATGTTTATTTATTTTTAAGAGAGAGAGAGAGAGAGAGAACGAGAAGAGGAGCAGAGAGAGGAGACACAGAATCTGAAGCAGGCTCCAGGCTCTGAGCTGTCAGCACAGAGCCTGATGTGGGGCTCTAGCTCACGAGCCGTGAGATCATGACCTGAGCTAATCAGACACTTAACCTACTGAGCCACCCAGGTGCCCCTTTAAAAAAATTTTTTTCTAATGTTCATTTATTTTTGATAGAGACAGACAGCACAAGCAGGGGAGGAGCAGAGACTGAAGGAGACACAGAATCTGAAGCAGGAATTAACAATTTTCAGTGGGAGATTTTCTTACTGAATATATAATCTCACTTATTCATCATACACACATACACATTTAAAACACAGATTTATGATTCAGCATTTTATTTATTATTAGGCTTATTCTTTTTTTTTTAAATGGGTTTATTCTTGTTTTTAAACGTTAACTTATTTATTTTTGAGAGAGAGAGAGAGAGATAGCACAAGCTGGGGAGGGGCAGAAAGAGAGAGGGAAACAGAATTCGAAACAGACTCCAGGCTCTGAGCTGTCAGCACAAAGCTCGACGCGGGGCTCAAACTCACACACTGTGTGATCGTGACCTGAACCAAAGTTAGATGCTTAGCCAACCGAGTCACCCAGGACCCCCAATTGGGTTCATTCTTAAGCATTTTATTTTGCAACTTCACTCATAATGGCTATTCAGGGCAGTGGTAGAGATACACCTTATTATTTATAATTACTATATATTATTTCTTTCTATGGGAAAATTGAACCATTATTTGTCTATTCTCCTATTGATGGGCATTTAGGTTGTTTCTAATTTTTCACTATTACAAACAATGCTGTAATCAATGAGTGTCTGTGTACATGTAGCTTGATAACTTGATATACTATTACCATCGGACATGAGTCTTAGAAATACAAACATCGAGACAATGAAAGATCAGAAATTTTCAAACATTCAGCTGCTCACATAAGGCCAAGTTAGTTTTCTCTATGGGGTGTTTATTAAAATCCAGGTTCACAGGCCCCCATGTGAGACCTGCTGAGTAATATCTTTGGAAATGATATAGAACAGTAAGTGGCAAAAATATTAGGATACAAAATATTGCAAGTCTAAAACCCCTGAAAGAATAATAGAGAATAAAGAATGAAAAGAAAAGAAAACAGAATCAAGTCATTGCCTGTAGCACTGGATGACTCTACATCCCAGAGCCTCTATGTTTGGTTCTGGAATCTCCTAGTTATATATCTGCCTTCAACATTCACATACGGGTTTTAACTCTCTCTTCAAAAAATATGGAAGATAATTCTAAGTACATACAACAAATCTTTCCTTGAGAACCAGGCAGATTTCAGAGGGGTAATGATGGTAGAAATAGAGGGGTCTGTAAGAGGAGTTGAAGCTAAGAGAGGGCTCAAGGGGAGTGAGTGCCTATGAGGGACAGACAACAGATGACCAGGGTAAAGACCCAGAGGCAACTCCCCGCTGCATGCTGGCCTGATCATTGGTTCAGTTGTGTGCTGAACTACTAAGTCATTTAGCTAATCAGGGCTAAGAGATGGGCCTGTGTTCCTACAGAGCCCAGAATATTCTGGAATATCCTGCTGTCAATGATAGAGAAGAAGGAAGAGCAAAATCCCTGCATAAACTGATGGGCCAGACACATTCTTTGCTTTGGTGAAAGTTTCCAATTGATGAAATTTTCAATCTATCTCTGTATCTCTCTCTCTTTCTCTCCCTAAATTACTGTAATTATTTTCAAAAAGCTAGCAAAACTGATTACAGAAGTTCATTAAAGTAAGAAGGATACTAAGGGAATCAAAGTCCTTGAACCGTTATGAATTAGTTCCAGGAATTTATGTGGAAACAGGTTTCAACTGTACTTAAAGGGAATGAAAAAAGATATGGTTTCCCGAAGAAGAGGAAGTAGAGAGAGGTAGAAATGTGAAAACTGGAAGCCAAGATTTTGGTAGACCTTGAGCCAATTATTGAATCATAATGATCTCAATGGAAGATGGTTGCATATGCAAAGAAATGGATACAATCCAACATCCATGACACATATGAATTATCCCTGCTGAGCAGCAGAAACAGGGTCCAAAGGAGAAGAGACACTCATGAACATGCTCCCAGAGGTTCTGGCTAGGACTTCCTCCTGCCCATCAGTTTCCTCAGGCCCTGTTTCAGGTCTTTGTTTCTCAGGCTATAGAT